ATAAATATATAAATAAGGAATAGGCTGCAAGGACCAGACCTCCTCCTTCTTCTGCTCATCAGTCTTCTCCTGGAGATAGACAGAAGAGGGGACAAACTTCTTGCTTGGTGCTTCTTTAGGAGCCTGGCTGACTGGAAGCAGAAATGAAAGTGTGAGCACAGGGATATCTTATTGAAGAAGGTATATGTGCCGCATAATCCTTCATAACACAGTTAGAAATCAGTGAGAAATGTGTAAATGTGAAGAGAAAAAGAATCTGGCACTTTATGAGGATTAACAAATACAAATAGGAGACAATCAGAATGATAACACGTGTAAAAAATCAGTTAAAGTGCGTGTGAACCTTAACAATCAACTTCTCTCATTTGCTCCCTTTTGGTCTGTTAATTGAAAGTGCAAAAATACCCATTGGCCCTGCCAGAGATCCAGTGCTATATTGTGCACTCTGCTGTCCAATCAAACCTGCACAAGTTAGTTACCTCTGTGAGCTACATCCCCCCCTTATTATGGGGATGAGAAGAGAAGGAGGCGTTCTATAGTCCTAACACAAGTCCTGTCCTAGGGTGACAACACTGCTCCTTCATAGATGCAATATGGTAAGTGAGCATTGTCACCCTAGGACAGGGAATGTGTTACTGGGAGGATCCCCAGGTGAAAATAAGCTTATAAAAGAAAACTAATGGACTTATAGGGATTGGTGAGCTGCAATATATTACATTATTGTTCTTGGGTTTAGACTTTAAAGCTGAAGTGTTGGCAAAACCTAAAGTAGAACTATGGGGAGAGTTAATTGCACTCATCCCCACAGTTAATGCCGGTGTACGACACTGCAGCTGTCACACGTCGGCAACATAGCTTGAGAACTGAGTGATCATATACCACTGATCGCTCAGTTCACAATCTTTTCCCTGCAAGGGTATGCCCACCCCCTCCCCTGTCTGTCCCTCCAGTCAGCACTCCCAACAATATTGTTGGGCATTTTCCTGGCTGCAGCGCTGTCAGCACATAGTGGGCAACAGCCTGATATTTGCTGAGTTTTGGGTCACAGGAGAGCATTAGTAAATGTCCTCCTCTGACCTGAAAGAGCACCAACGCCTAAAAGGGTTTGGACATAGTTCTCTTTTAACTGGGGCATTGGCTGGGTATCAATAAGGTACTTCTAATGATGTGTGCTGCACTGGTGGCTGCTGCTTCATCCTTCAAAAATATTATTTACATGCAGCCTCTGGCGGTGATGTCACTGCTGAAATTCTGGCAGTGAAACAGTGGGAGCTGGAACACAACGATCACAATGAGTCAATTGCTGTGCAGCTCCTCCATTCAGAAAACACTTTGTATTGTTTCCAAAGCATAGAAAGCATTCTGTGATTGGACACATGACGCATTCTGTGATTGGACACATGACGCATTCTGTGATTGGACACATGACGCATTCTGTGTGGACATGGGGCGCATGAACATCACACTCTCCCCTTTTCAATTGACAACTACCATTTCCAGAAAGAAAAGTCTGCCATGGCAGTTTACTTGGAGCACAGACAATTTCATTGAAGCTGGAAACGGCAGGTTGAAAAAGGCAGAATTAAAGTAAACCTGTCATGAGGGAGCCTTGGGAGCTGCCACTGCTTACCGCTTCTTCGAATAATGCTACTTTCCTGGCTGTCATGCTGATCCTTTGCATTTCAAACTCTTACTGAGTTACTGGTCCAGGATAAGTATGCAGATACAGGCTTCTGAATTTTCTAGTATTCTGCTGATCCGCATGCTTGCTCTGGGTCAGTGACTCAGATCGTATTGGGGGCAGAGTCAGTCAGGAGACCCAAATGCTTAAAAACAGGTCAGCAGTAGTAATCTCCATATTTCTCTCAGGCCAGGCTTCCTTTAAACATAAAGCTATGTCGTTGTTGATAGTTCTGCTTTCATTCATGAGAGATTCACAGATATCAGATAAAGTATGACAGGAATCTGTCTATTACCTGGAGTCATGCCTGCAGGACACAGATTAACAGTACGCTGCTGCTTGTCTTTACCGCTGAGCCACTCTGCTGCAGACAGCGCTGGTTCCCAGGTCACACGGGTAGGAGGGAACACATCATCCTGGAAGAACTCTTTCTATAGAGAAAAGATAATACTAACATTTGAACACTGCTGAATGCAGAAATCATTTTTACAAGTTTAGGTTCTTCAGCTTTCAGAGTGCCCATAAAATAGCCATAAGGCAGATCATCATGAAATCCCAGTCATATATTGATCAGTGCAAACAGACATCAAAAAAAGACCATCAATACTTCATGTGCAATAGGCATGGAGCATTTACAGGCACCTGCAAGAGTCAGCTGTGTCAATACAGGGACAGGGCAAAGAAATACAATTGTTACACTGGTATTGGCTCATTGCTGTGATGGGCTAATGTTCTTGGGTTTAGACTTTAAAGCTGAAGTGTTGGCAAAACCTAAAGTAGAACTATGGGGAGAGTTAATTGCACTCATCCCCACAGTTAATGCCGGTGTACGACACTGCAGCTGTCACACGTCGGCAACATAGCTTGAGAACTGAGTGATCATATACCACTGATCGCTCAGTTCACAATCTTTTCCCTGCAAGGGTATGCCCACCCCCTCCCCTGTCTGTCCCTCCAGTCAGCACTCCCAACAATATTGTTGGGCATTTTCCTGGCTGCAGCGCTGTCAGCACATAGTGGGCAACAGCCTGATATTTGCTGAGTTTTGGGTCACAGGAGAGCATTAGTAAATGTCCTCCTCTGACCTGAAAGAGCACCAACGCCTAAAAGGGTTTGGACATAGTTCTCTTTTAACTGGGGCATTGGCTGGGTATCAATAAGGTACTTCTAATGATGTGTGCTGCACTGGTGGCTGCTGCTTCATCCTTCAAAAATATTATTTACATGCAGCCTCTGGCGGTGATGTCACTGCTGAAATTCTGGCAGTGAAACAGTGGGAGCTGGAACACAACGATCACAATGAGTCAATTGCTGTGCAGCTCCTCCATTCAGAAAACACTTTGTATTGTTTCCAAAGCATAGAAAGCATTCTGTGATTGGACACATGACGCATTCTGTGATTGGACACATGACGCATTCTGTGATTGGACACATGACGCATTCTGTGTGGACATGGGGCGCATGAACATCACACTCTCCCCTTTTCAATTGACAACTACCATTTCCAGAAAGAAAAGTCTGCCATGGCAGTTTACTTGGAGCACAGACAATTTCATTGAAGCTGGAAACGGCAGGTTGAAAAAGGCAGAATTAAAGTAAACCTGTCATGAGGGAGCCTTGGGAGCTGCCACTGCTTACCGCTTCTTCGAATAATGCTACTTTCCTGGCTGTCATGCTGATCCTTTGCATTTCAAACTCTTACTGAGTTACTGGTCCAGGATAAGTATGCAGATACAGGCTTCTGAATTTTCTAGTATTCTGCTGATCCGCATGCTTGCTCTGGGTCAGTGACTCAGATCGTATTGGGGGCAGAGTCAGTCAGGAGACCCAAATGCTTAAAAACAGGTCAGCAGTAGTAATCTCCATATTTCTCTCAGGCCAGGCTTCCTTTAAACATAAAGCTATGTCGTTGTTGATAGTTCTGCTTTCATTCATGAGAGATTCACAGATATCAGATAAAGTATGACAGGAATCTGTCTATTACCTGGAGTCATGCCTGCAGGACACAGATTAACAGTACGCTGCTGCTTGTCTTTACCGCTGAGCCACTCTGCTGCAGACAGCGCTGGTTCCCAGGTCACACGGGTAGGAGGGAACACATCATCCTGGAAGAACTCTTTCTATAGAGAAAAGATAATACTAACATTTGAACACTGCTGAATGCAGAAATCATTTTTACAAGTTTAGGTTCTTCAGCTTTCAGAGTGCCCATAAAATAGCCATAAGGCAGATCATCATGAAATCCCAGTCATATATTGATCAGTGCAAACAGACATCAAAAAAAGACCATCAATACTTCATGTGCAATAGGCATGGAGCATTTACAGGCACCTGCAAGAGTCAGCTGTGTCAATACAGGGACAGGGCAAAGAAATACAATTGTTACACTGGTATTGGCTCATTGCTGTGATGGGCTAGCTCACTGGCCAATAAGAATGTGTGAGAATTTGGAGGGGCGGGCTAGCTTAGACACCACCAAAAAAAAAACAAAAACTGAAGCTTTGCCTGATATTTGTGCAGAATGGGAACACTAAAAACTGTACATGCACCTCTTCCATGCCTGTGCTTTATATCTGTCAGCAGATTCTTTTTATGTTAAAGTAACAATTCACAGTGACCCTCTCGCCACAGAGTCACTTTTACTCATAGCGCCACCTGAAAAAAATAAAGTGGTATACTTACTTTTCCACCATTCTGTATATTGAAAAGCCACTGCATCTATGCCCCCCGGCTGCTGCAAGTGTTTGACCATTGACCATAAGTTGAATGCCTGCTCCCCCTGCCATCTGCTGTGGTTCATCCTGACAGCTTGTACATCACTGCAGGCAGGAAAAACACCATCAGGCAGCTGGGGAAGCAAGAATTTGACTCTTCCAACAGTCAATTACTTGCACAGCAGAGAGAAGAAAAGAAGCGGCTTTTAATACATTGACCGCCATATTTTTGTACAGGTTGCGCTATGAGCAAAAAAGTCTCCATGTGATGGAAGGGTCACTTTTATTCACTGCATTACCTCTAGCATTCAATCTGACAGGTATAATTACATAAAGATTGAGTACAATTTGTGGTGTACGTCCCATAATCTTGATGCTGATAATACGAAGTGGAGTCTTTGCAGGACTGTACTGTACTACCTGCCTATCATGTGGCACCTCTATCTTTCAGCTGTACCTGTTGACAGTGTCACTTATACCGTATATGTCTGGCGTGTGTCCATTGTTCTGCCAATGGACACACGCCAGACATATACGCTATAAGAAAAATTCAAACCTGCAGTGTAAGAGAACCAGCTTTGCTCTCTGAAATACCAGTGGCGGGATTATAGGGCTACACATAGATATAACAAAGGGCTTGGTGTCAGCACACAACCAAGAAACATTGATCCAAGCGATACTTACCTTAACGCGTGGAACACGGAAAGCTACAGGCTCAAGTGAGCTATTGCAAAGACGGAAAGCACGCAGAATCTCCACTTCACGCACATCGCAGTCAGTTTTCCGCAAATACTGGACACCCTGGGACACAAAATACAATACAATATCAGAGCTGGAATGTGGACACACTAAAGGCCTGTGTTGATGAGCATGCACTTCACATCAGAGATCATTAAGAATTCATTGACAGGTGCACTGACTTGCAGCTGACCTCCTTCTGACCTGCTTTAAGCTGTTTTTGCATCCCAATAGTCTTGTATGGGGAGAGAAGCAGTTCTGACATGAACAAAAGCCGGTCGACAATAGCTGTAACGGTTACTGAAACTCTACATTTAAGTGTATTTAACGTTTTGAATACAGTAGGGAAGTTTCTGTGTCCCCACTAAACCCTCTTTATACATCCCGGTGACCACTGACAATTTGGTAGTTGTCAAAAGAACAGAAATAAAGGGATACTCTTCCAATGTGGACACTTGCACTGGTGACAACTCTCTGAAAGAGGATTTCCTCATTTTCTGTTCCTCACTTCATACCTGGAAGATAAGGGAAATCTCCCCAATAGGGCATAGACAGCCAAACAAAAAAATGAAGGTGGTTCAAACCTTCGCTACTTTATTTAAAACTGGTGATACTTTAAAAAGGTGTTGTGTGTTTTTTTGTATAGAAATGCTTCTGCCATGTAACTGTACATGACAAATCCTATACTGAAAACATGGTGGTCTCACCTTGTGTGGGTCACTGCTCACGAAGCTGTTACATTCCAGGAAATAGGGGCTTTCTGCTGTCACCTCATATATGAAGGATCTGGTGTCACCCTGGGAAAAGGAATTACAATACAGTTGGTTAGGGGCTTTGGTAGGCCCAGACACCCAGTGCACGTAGCCTGGGTCTTATGCTGAGTGCCTTGGGTGTCATTTGTTTCAACACTTGCAGTATGACAAATATACTTCAACCTTTTAACAACCTTTGCAAATAAAATACATATGACTCTTTGTTCATGCATGCAATTATGTTCTTTCCAACCTATGGGGCACTTAGTACTTTTTGTTTTACCTCCACCCATAAGGGGAGCCCAGAGTACTTGCCTTCCCAGCGAGCAGCAGGATGCCGTTGTCTGGGTCATAGTGTGGGATAAGAGTTGAGGGTGACACATCCAGACTGATGGTGGTGATAGGACCCTGTGACAGGTTTTCTGTACTATGCAGAGTCAGCTGGCGTTCACTTCGGCTGTAAAATAGGAAATCGTCAGAAAGAATCATAATCAATGCCTCGATGCTCACCCCCCAATATATACTGAAAAAGATATAACATTTAGGAAGGCATCTTACCTGTCAAATCCTGACACAAGGAGATATTTACCATCACACACCCAAAGGACACGCGCACCTCGGGCACCTTCCGGCCCAGCACCCTCCTGTGGGAAGAACCAGAGCTCCATCACATGCAAAGCTCACCTCTGCTATATAATACATTTGGATATGTGTAGATGTATAGGAGAAGAGGGAAGCATTGTGTTGCCCATAGTAATAAGACTCCAATCAATTTCTAACTTGTATTCTGATTATGCAGAAAAGAGAACCTGCTTGCTAAATAATCACTTCTCTTAGACTTACTTGCTTTGGTTGGTTGGAAACCCGAGGCTCATACATACGAACACGCTGATCTTTACCGCAAGTAGCCAAATATTTGCCATCTGGACTCCAGGCAAGGGAGAAAATCTGTGAGAGACAGAAAGGTTGGTACTAGGCTGGACAGAGACAGAAAGGTTGGTTCTAGGCTGGACAGAGGCAGAAAGGTTGGTTCTAGGCTGGACGGAGACAGAAAGGTTGGTTCTAGGCTGGACGGAGACAGAAAGATTGTTTCTAGGTTGGACAGAGACAGGAAGGTTGGTTCTAGGCTGGACAGAGACAGAAAGATTGTTTCTAGGCTGGACAGAGACATACAGGTTGGTTCTAGGCTGGACAGAGACATAAAGGTTGGTTCTAGGCTGGACAGAGACATAAAGGTTGGTTCTAGGCTAGCCAAAGATGGAAAGATATCTCCCAAGAGCAAAGCTTGTCGAGACAACCATCCATTAACACAGACGTTGACAGAGCAATGGTGTCAGTCATGCACTTCATATACTTGCTGTACATTGATCATTTCCCCAATTCCATTGCAGAGGGCATGATTGGGTCAACTCACTGAGAGATTTTAAAGCACGGTTGAAAATCTTCCTGTCTGAGAAAAAGCGCTTCCGACCACAGGAAGCACCGACTATCACCAACCTAGATGGTCAGGAACTGTCCAATCGCAAGCTATACCCAAAATCACAGCCATCATTTGTAATCATTGGCCAGGTTATGGACACCCTTAGGTTCCAAGGACTTTCGCAAACTCCATGTAGAAGCCAAAACACCAAGGCCAAATATCAACAAGGCTGGATTACCATTAGACACAGAAGACTTTTTCGTATTGGTGGCAGAGGAAAAGAACCGACTTTTTTCTGTATAATTATTGTGTCACTTTTTTTTCCTATCTTTTGCACAGATAAAGTCATCTCATATAAGCTCATCACATAGAAAATACTATAAAAAAACACACGTGTTATTCCTTGTGTGAACTAATGATGTCTGATAAGGTCACCTGATCTCCGTGGCCTTGCAAAGTCAGCACATTTCTACCCTCCTTCAGGTTCCAGACTCGCACTGTCATGTCATAAGAAGAGGAGACGAGAATATCCGAAGCACAGGGGTGGAATCGCACTGTGTAGATCCGCTCATTGTGACCTGTTGGATAGGAAGGTGGTAGAGTCATTTATATTTCACAGCTGATAGCATTGCGGTACTGTCGCTTATAAAAAGTTGAATTTACATTGAACCAAATTTGACAACACTTCTGTCTTTTACATTTCCTGTAAGAATTCATACATATGGCAATATTGCATTTCCACTGTCTTAGCATCTCTGCTTTGTGTGTTTCTGGGCAAAGTATGTACCAAATCTGCTATAAAGGGACTTGTTTTGAAAGGTAAAAGCAATCATCAATAATTGTCTAAAGATCTGCAAACACCGGATGCACATAAAATGACAAAAAATAGGATTTTGGTACTCACCGTAAAATCCTTTTCTCTCCGTTCATTGAAGGACACAGGGAACAGATCGGAGATCATGTACTGTAGGGTAATACTTTATGGTCAACAATTTGTGGGCACGTGACCATCACACCTATATGGGTTTGATAGACATCCCATTCCAAAACTATGGGTCTTACTATGGAGTTGGCACGCAGTTTATGGCTATTACTGCCTTCACTCCTCTAGGAAGGCTTTCTACAAGATTTTGCAGTGTGCCTTTGGCAATTTAAGTCTGTTCAGCCAAAAGACCAATTGTGACATTAGAGAGAAAATGTGTCTCACAATCAATGTTCAAATTTGTCCCAAAGGTGTTCAATGGGATTGAGGTCAGGGCTTAGTGAAGGCCATTCAAGTTCCTCTTTACCACACTCATCATACCATGTAGCTGGCCTTGCACATGGGGCACTGTCATGCTGGGACAGAAAAGGTTGGAAGAGAACATTTGTTATTATAACCTTTAGCATTACCGGTACCCTTCACTGGAAACACCGGAATAATTTGGAAAGGTGTCCACATACTTTTGACCATGTGGTATATTTTAGCAGGGTTCTTCACAAAAGGGTGAAGAGTTTGGAGAAGGCAGGAGAAGTGAACAATCTAGAACAAAATAGCTGATTTGGAAAGATTCTCCAATTAAGTTCACTTTCCAGTTCAGCTATGTTGTCCGAGATTGTTCACTTCTCCTGCCTTCCCCAAACTCTGCACCCTTTAGTGAATAACCCTGTAAGAGTTCAAAGTTTAAATAGTCATGACCAATGTGTCTGTATTAAAAGGTAACATTTTCAACATTGATATTTCGGTTTTTGGTAGATGCTGTAGAGTTCTACTACCCAATTTCTTATATCACTCAGAGACTCTATTGGTGTGATCTATCCAGAGTTGAGGACGCCAGATCTTACCTGACTAAATCATCTCCTTTGGGTAAAATTGCTATTTATCATCTGGATTTGCCATCAAACCTACACTGGACGTTTATACCATGCTTTGTGCAGCATGCAGTACATGTGAGAGGCTTTAATGCTCAGGGTCGCCGAGTTGTTGTGAAACATTCCCACAGGAGGGCAGCATTGGTCACATATATCTGCTCTGACTACGTAAAGGTTAAATGACATGACTCCTGAAAAGATTCTAGCTTTTGTACCCAAAGTAAACCTATTCCAACATGTATTTACTTTAGAAGGTGTGTAAATACCTGTAGGGTCACTCATTCCACAGGGTAACCAGGCTGCTCGTGCAGGTCCTGGGGCATTCCACAGCCACTGTGTGTGTTCCAGCTGATAATAAATGATCCCTTCTGCTCCTATGCCTCATTATTTGTATGACTTCTGGCTGTTCCATGTATGTAGTGTACGACTGGTACTAGCTGCATGTGTGTAGTTTTCATCCTTGCCATGTAATGTGTTCCTTACCAATAAGAACTGAGTGAGGGTCACTGAGGGTCTCCTTAAGCCCACCCTGCGGAATTATCCAAACTTTAATCCTTCCGTCTTCTCCACCTGAAATTTAATTTAAAAAACATATGATGTAAACTAATTTATAACATGTGAGGGAGATGAACAAATAGCATTAATCACATCAAAGGAAAACCAATTTTTAATTTAACGTATATTTAAACCCAAAAAACAAAAATGTAACATAATGCAGCTTGGCAATCATTGAATGTGGTGGCTGCACTTGTTTTCTTCTTTTTCTGACTTCTGACTATTTTCCCTTCATTTTCACCCAAAGTTTCTGCCAGTAACACACTTCCTGTCCTAGGGTGACAACACACACTAACTGTACTGTATCTATGCAGGAGCAAAGTTGTCACCCTAGGACAGGAAGTGTTTTAGGACTATAGAACACCTCTCCTTCTTATCATCGAAGTAACGAAGAAGGGAGGTGTTTTCTATTTCACAGTAAGAGCTGAAAACAATGCTAACTGATAACATTCAGCAACTTCACAGGAAGTTAAGAACACCCCTGACTGGTGGCACAATGAGGTCTGTGACCTCAACTCAAGCAGCAGCATAGCTTGATCAAGAACATGCTCATCAGCTTGTTGACGGGACAATGAAGAATCAGCAATACATTAACGAGGCCATCCCTCTGCTCACACTCCTTTCTCATACAGTCAGAATGTTCCCTGTCTGCACAACTGGAGTACAACAGAGCCTGATTGTCTCCTAGTGCTGCCCCTCTCATTCCCAGTCCTAGCCCTGCTGTATTGGGGATTACAAGAGGCTGATATAAGGGCAGAGTCAGATATTAAAGCTGGCCATACACCTATAGATTATCTACAGATTTTCTCTGGTGAGATGGAAAAAGTGCAACAGATTCCTCCATCTACGCTAAACTGTGTGGATGGAGGAATCTCCCGCTGGGCCAAGCTTCAGTATCTTGCTAGTCGGCCCCGCTGGCTCTCAAAATACCTGAACAATCTGATTGGATGCAGGCATTGCCAGGTATTTTGAGAGCCAGGGGGGCGAGTAGCTGAAGTTGGCCCAGTGGGAGATTCCTCCATCCACACAGTGTATCGTAGATGGAGGAGTCTGTTGCACTTTTTCCATCTGACCATAGGAAATCTGCAGAAAATCGATAGGTGTATGGTCAGCTTTAGAAGTGTATTTATAAACAATTTGCTAGACCGTACACCCTGTGAAACTCCACGAATGTTCATTCTGTGCGCATAGTGCTCAAAACGAATGTTCTTAGTACATTTTCTTTCCAATCAGAATGTACTATACATAAAATACCACATTATGTCCACTAGATGGAACTGAGGAGCATAAGAGAGAAGTATTTATTTCCTATGCTCTATGGCGCCATCTGGTCTTTATAATGCAGTATTATATGTTGACATTCCAAATTACATTAGACATTTAAAGAAAAATTTTAATATTTGATGTGTGCATCCATTTGCACAGAATGAACATTTACTGAGCTTTGTGAAATTCTGTGAATTGTTTATACAGAGTCCCCTAATCCGAGTTCCATTTAAAAATACATTGAAAGCTTTATTAACAGGCACAAGAGAAAAAAGCAAAGCAGGAGGAGTGCACTGTAGAAGAAACTCTACATTCTCTCTATATAAGGGACCCAAACTCACTATAACGTATCTGGCCTTTGCTGTTTATTCTCCCAATCTGCAACATGAAAGGCTGACATGGCTTTTATCATACCTGTGACCAGTCGCTGGGGGTTGAAGGGGTCCCATGTAAGGTCGGTGACAGGCACTGTGTTCTCAATAGTCGGCAGGGAGTCTGGTAAACGTCCTGGCTGTGACAGCTTTGGGTGAAACAAGTACACAATCAACCATATGGGTTGTAATAAGGAATCCATGACAACCAATTAAATGTCAGCTTGTAATGTTTAAAAACGACCTCTGCAAAAAACGCAATCCTCTCCTCCGCCTGACCACATTGCCCCTTTAACAAGAGTAAATGTTAAAAGAAAAATCTTGTAATACCTGTCCTGCAGAAAACACCCGGTTTCTATATCTGGAGTTCCACTACTGTGTGAGCTGGCCCAGCTTCTCTATCCCTCCCCTCACCCCCTATATAACTGTTTATGTAACACCCAAGGGAGGAGCGAAGGGTAATACTATAGCGCAGAGGTGGTGAACTATTGGGACATAGGGTCATCTTTGCTGGTACACAAGCCTAGGTGCTGATTAACATATGGACGCTCCTGAAGATATGCCTGACTGTCCCCGCCGCCTCGGTATGTGATCTAGGCCGGCTATAATCAGGCAGCTGCTGCCCTCTAATCCGGCATATTAGAGGCCGCTCACCGGGGCCTCTCAGGGCCTTTATAGACCACCTGAGAGCCACACAGCCCCCTTGAGAGCCCACACATCACCCCTGAGACCTACACAGCCCCCTGAGAACCCGTACAGACCACCTAACAGCTCACAGGGCCTACCTGAGAGTCGCACAGCCCCCCTGAGAGTCAACCCAGCACCCCTAGGAGCTGCACAGCCCCAATGAGAGCCTGTATATACCACCTTAGAGCTGCACAGCCCCCCTGAGAGGCCATATAGACCATTTGAGAGTCCTTATAGACCACCTGAGAACTGCACAGCCCTCCTGAGAGCCCACACATCAGCGCCCCTGAAAGCCACACAGCGCCCCTGAGAGCCTGTACAGACCACCTAAGAGCCTGCAGAGGTTGCAATTGCAGGGTTGGCACTTTAACATACATAAGTTGGTTTAGTGATCCAGTTTGGGCACTCGGGCTCAAACAGGTTCACCATCACTGCTATAGAGTGTCACTTGAATGACAGCTTTGAGCCTGCTGGGACAGCTGACATCACATCCAAGATTGACAACACTTAGCAGTCCTCGTGGTTTTTGGATGTATGCAAAAGGGAGACTTTTACAAGTAAATGATATGCATTAAATGTCAAATGCACATATAATCTCATAGGAAGACTGATGTTTATATGAATGGTCTGGAAACATGGTCTCTTAACTATTTTCTATCACTCTTGAGATAAAGAAATAATTTGGCACAGTCTAGAACCTGCAGTAAGAGACACGAGGGCTGTTACGTAACATAATGTCTGAAGGGATGTTGCTGTAGGGCTGTAGCCAAATAGATAAGAGAAAAGCATATCTAGTGCTCATGTGACTTTTATTTTGTAGGTGACATTATTTATTTATCTACAAGATATGTTCAATTCAAAAGCATCTCTGCTTTTTTATCAAGAAGTTTAAGCTTAACTTCCTTACCTCCAACACTGCTATCTGACCCCCTGGCCCAGCCAAAGGCACAGCTGCTCGCTGGTAGTTCACACAGAAGCCATCGCTTTCTCCTGGCGTGCTCTGGCTTACTCCTCTCAGGTTGGTGATGTGATTGTCACGATGGAGGACAGTGCCCTGAGTATGACGGAACCGTGAGCTGGGACCTGTATATAGATTAAGTCAGTGGAATTAAATACATTTTTACCTAATGTTGAGGCATAAGAGAAACACCTTTAAAACAAACCTGCATTTTACCCGCACAGGGCAAATCAAGAGATTTGCTTTAATTTATTCCCCTGTCACTGTGATCAGCTGCTGACATAAAGCAAATACTCATTACTTCTTGATGTGACTCACTCCCATTCCTTTCATGTAACAGCCCTGTTGTTTGCTTATCAGCCCAGAGATAGTACATGGAGGTGGGAAAAAAGTCTTCATCCCTGTGTAAGCTCCAAGAAGGAGGACTTGGAGTTTACACAGAGCTTCTTCTCCTTCCTGCTGGTGGCTGAACGCAACAGTGAGGGTGCAAAGGAAATGTAAAAATCTATTGGTGAAGAAGAGAGCATTAAAGTGAACCTGTCCATTATTAAGGACAAAGGGGAAATAGGGTCGTAGACCCCCCCCCCCTGTCCCTTTAGATTGACATTGATAAGGATTGCAATAGGCACAGAGAAGCCTATTTGCTGGTATGGACAGTCCCATCAGACACCAGCTGACTACAAATACATCCTTCCTTGACCAACTGCGCTACCCTCCTAGTTTACCAAATAAAAATGAAGGTTGTAGCCTGTCCCCTAGATAACCACTGGGACCATAGATGCCTGCCTGGGTTGCCTTGTAGATGATCTGGCTTTTTACCTATCAAACCAGTCTCATCTGCAATGTCGGCTAAAAAGATACAGAAAACGTCTGGAACAGTGAGACATGCTAACTTTGGTTTGAACCAAGATCACCGTTTTTATCTCATACAAACAGATAGACCATCGCTTACCCAGAATGCTTTGCAGGGAACGTTGACTGGTGCTGGAAACAATCCCACTGGAGGGAGAAGTGACTGAGCTGGAGGGAGAAGACAGGGCGCTCCCTTCCTGAGGATCAAAAAAAACAAACAAACCAGGATGTTTGCAAGATATTGTAATATACATGCTAACAGGGACCATGCATAGTACCCCACATAGGCATTCTTGGGTCATGATACAAGGTGAACCCCAACCCCCCCCGCACTACTATCCTTCAAGACCTCATCTGTGCTAAGAGTACTGTTGGTGCTGCCTTCCACTGCTTACTCATAAATGAACCATGTGCAAATACTATATATGCTTCAATGCTGAATATGATAACAGTGAGTTGTACACAATAGAGCAATTTGAGCTAATGCTTATTGCAATACATAATGCTGTTAATCTGACATGCACTGACAACTAGAAGATGAGGCATACAGGTAAGCTTACAGGATGGGGGTAGCACAAGCAATGTGCTAAATCTCATTCTAGCTGCTGAATAGGTTGGAGAAGGGAAGGTGGCAACAGGAGGCTATAGGCTGTGTAGACCACAAGACTTACCATACCTTGGCAGGTAAGCAGTCTCTATATATGCCCCATTACTCTGCGTTTAGCTGTACAGTTGGGGTATTTCTTCAGACGCATGACTATATAATGCAGTTGACCAACCAGCAAACTAGTATGGCTAAATGATCTAATGTAATGTTCTTTTACTCACACTCGGCTCAGGAGATGCCACTTTCTGCTCAGGAGATGCCACTTTCTGCTCAGGAGATGCCACTTTCTGCTCTTTTCTTGTGGGAAATGAAGTGACTGTTCTTTGGGATGGATTTAAGGAGACCTTCTCCACCTGGTAATAAAAAAAAAAAGATTGTCAAATGCCTAGAGCATGGGTAGGCAAACTCCGGACCTCCAGCTCTTGTGGAACTACAAGTCCCATGAGGAATTGCAAGACTCTGATAGCCACAGGCATGACTTCCAGAGACAGATGCATGATGGAATTTGTAGTTTCAACACAGCTGGATGGCCAGAGTTGTTCTACCCCTGCCTTAGAGGAATCATGCATAGTGGCCAAGAGCAATACAGATCTCATGCTGATGTACTGATTATGAACCCAATGATCATCATCTGATGACTGTCAGGTCTTGGAAAAAAATCACAAATGGTGGGAACAGAAGCAATGATTAAAGTGGACCTTTCAGTTACTTAACAAGTCTATATGAATACATTTCTGGAATGTCACTATATACAGCAACAGTAACATTTTTCAGAAAAGCTGTGTCTTTATTATAACAAAGCCATCCTTGAGGTCTGGTCAAGTGACTGTGTCTAGGCTGTCTATGATGCCATCAGTCTGCTGCAGGCAGGAGGAAGCATTTCCTCGCTCTCCTCTTTGTTGGTGATCAGCAACATTGTCATTTTCAAGCAAGTCAAAGTGAGAGGCTAAAGCAGGGGCTGTACATTTGTAAACTGAACAGGAACGGGGTGTATATGTGGTTATGTCATCTAAGTCCAGGTGACCCTAGATGGTGTCTGAACAAAGTTGACTTCATTCATCTGGACTGCAAAGTAAATGAGTGAGAATGCTGTGATCTCTATAAGAGGTAATACATACCTGTAAATGCCACAAATACATATTACTTAAGCTCACTTAACGTGAACATATTTATCTGATTGTAGGTCCACTTTAAAGTGACATTTCTGCCATGTGGCGTTCAACAGTACAAGCCTATGATAGTATGCAATGCTGAAACAAATAGGCTGATTTATAAGAACTGCAAGGCAAACTGCATGTGTTGCCCAAAGAAACTGTATTCGGAATGGGCAGAAAACACCGGTTGCAATAATACAATCATTCCGCCTTTCCTCCACTTCGTAACAGTTATGAATAATGTCCGCCACTGTTGCGTTCACAGCTACGGATATGGGTGCAGTGCCACTTACCTGCTTATTGACTCCTGACCACCAGCTCTGGGCAGAGTGTGGTGCTATGAATCCGGCTGTGTCAGGGAAAAGGTCCAGTGGAAGGTCTTGAACTGCCTACAGGGTACAGAGGAAATGTTGGAGTGTCAAAGGACACGATGAGAGACAGAAGTGCAGGCTGTGTGTCAGGTGACTGCTAAGTGTTGACTGCTGTGTGTCAGGTGACTGCTAACAAAGGTTGCATAGCGCAAATGGTATATGTATCAAACATTTCACATTTCTTCAGAATATAAGAAGATCTTGCTGAGTTAACGGCAGTGCTATGAGCACACGGACTGTAGAATTAGGCAACTTGGGTCAATGCATCTAAAAGTGATATATTGGATAGGTGATCTTGGGGAGTTACATCAGCCCCCACCTTCTTATATCTTGGATACTGGCAAGGGTGAGATCTACCTATCAAAACTCCTGGCTCTTGGTCTTTGGTAGTTTTGGCTGTTTCCACCCACCTTTGTGTGATCTGGCTCCTACTGTTTTATTATTCATAATATAAAGCATATAAAAACCCAACAGGAAGAGAGGAAACCTCTCATAATAGCCAACTGAGACACTCACGTGCAGAAATCTCACCAATTGTCAGGTAGTTTAACTCTACAGCTTCCAAAAAATACTGAAATATTAGCTTTGTAAGGACTAGCCCTTAAAATAGCTTCTAATCTGGCAAATCACCAGGTTCTGATCACTGTTATGTGATTGGGAGGACAGAGTATTGAGCCCTGTGTATGTAGGCTTCGACTTGACTAGGCAAAGCACCGGCTCACTTAACCTGCTCCACAAATTAGATTTCCAACCTGGCTGTGCTGTGTGGCAGGGCTGTGTAAATCTAAACACTGGCTAGACAAAATGATAAATCTTTCCATATATGTATTTCAAACTAGCTGTTGCCTAGAGTTCAGTTCTAAGCATTAACCTATGTACCATCCACCTACATATTACACCACTCCATTAGCTGTGCTGGGTGTCACTACACTGTATTGACCTTGAGCTCCTCAGCAAACACACATTCCTTCCTGTCTCTATGATGGTTCCTTACATTCATCTTTGTAATTCTATCCCCAGAGCCATGGCAGCTGTGACAGTCACTTCCCAATAACCACGCAGTCCTTTCAAAATGGCGGCAGAGTTTAAAAAATCAGACACATACAGTCCACTGGTTATGTTATCATGATCCCTCTAGTACAGAGGTTGGCAACTCCGACCCTCCCGGTGTTGTGGACAACAAGTCCCACCAGGCATTGCAAGGCTCCCAGAAGCATGTTGTGATTTGTAGTTAAGCACAGCTGGAGGGCCAGAATTGCCCACCCCTACTCTAGTGGCTGCCGCTAGCAACTGTCTCTAGAGTGGTCATGTTCTCCCACAAGGCTGTCCTTCATGAGAATTCTACCATATAGCACCTACAGGAATTATTGGTACAGATATTTTAGGATATACCATCGTAGGGGGGTGGACGCCTCACCCACCACTGACCTCACCGCACGTACCTGATATACAGGTAAGCTTATAGAATGAGGCGAGCACAAGCAATGTGCTAAATCTCATTCTGAATAGGTTGAAGAAAGGATGGTGGCAATAGGAGGCTATAGGCTCACTGGAGGGCAACAGTGGTGTCGCCCTCCAGTGAGTGAGGGGGCAGGTGTATGTAAACCACAAGACTTACCATACCTTGGCAGGTAAGCAGTTTCTATATATACCTCATTACTCTGCGTATAGCTGTACACATCACTGTGCTACCAAAGTGATGATTATATTCTGTTATTTTAAAGGTATGGTTAATGTAGGCAAAAATCTCATCTGTCTGCACAGAGCTTTAGCAACAAAAATCAATGCACATTTTCTAAACCATTTCCTAAGTGATTCTGACATCTCAGTATGGTAGTGAATGAAGAGCTTGATATTGGATGGCACAGGCCCAGAGAACATGCACACTATGCCAGTGTGATGGAGGAACATGGTGGTATGGAGGGAGATGTGTAGGGTGAAAGGGATAAGAGGTACATATAACACACACAATGCATACATTACAAATGCAGCACACAGCTCGAGCATACAGTGAGCGTGACAGCCAGTGATACCTTGCGTGGGACGTTATAACTGATAGGAATGATGAACCTGTCACTCAGCTGCAGGAGGCGGAGAAGCTCACAGCTCAGCACATCAAGGCAGAGTTTGGGCACCAGTGCCAATCCGCGAGTCTGCTGTTCTGTGACGCACTGTGAGACTAAAAGACACAAGCAACACCCTGTCATAATACTGTCACATTGGTGCTTGTAACTCCAAAATATAAACTAAATCAAAAACGTACGCTGCGTTAGAGAAGGCGATTCAGTGTTGACCTCCATGCAGTACATTGTGCTTTCACCCTGCAGACGAAATAAAGAGATTCAAAATATAAAAACAAAATAGCCAATACAACGGCATTTTACTCAAAACCACATGAATCACATGAGTCCCAGCTATATCCCGACTATGGCGCGGGATCTTCCTGTCAGAGCCATGGACAATGGCAAAAACCTGGGACTAAACCACTCAACGATCCACCAAAATCTAAAGTGAGTTTGTACTTTATTAAATAATGCAGGCAGCAACTCAGGTCACTCCAGTGGTCAGGAGAGAGTAAACCAGAATGGACATCTGCATTCATTACAATTGTCCCCAAGGTGGACACATCTGTATATCACACCTGGCAGCAGAGTCACTCAGACTGCCCCGGGCACAGTGAGAGGCTCACAAAGCACATTCTGAGTTAATTTACCTGAGCAGCAAGGATGAGCAGCCCTGTGTCTACGTCATAGAGCGGGATGAGAAGTCTGTAGAGAAAGAAGACAACCAGTTACTTTACATCCAAACACAAAAAGATGCAAAGTGTGCACTTTTGATGAGGAGACATAAACCAAATGTTTTTGTTCAGTTTACCGTCTACACATACATTAGTGCAAAAAAAAGATTATTACCCAGATTAAACACTAGGGGGCAGTGAAGATACATCTCAATTTATAATCATTAGACACCATCAATAGTCATATGGATACAGTGTGTTGTGTTGGCTTCTAGTTGGTATTGGCAGTAAAAATGAGAAATGGACCTCTATGATGAAGTTAAACAGAGAAAAGACAGTCCATATGACAATAATATCAGCCAGGGATCATTAATATGAACATATGACCTGCTTAATACATTCCTTACAGAGAGTCCTCCCTACTCTGATCTCCACTACTACATTCTAAGTGTCAACATGGCTGACACCATAGCAAATTCTGACAGGTAGACGTGCTGAAGGAAATGTCACATCAACTTCCAGCCACCATTTGATGCTGTCATTTAATCACTGATCACTGTCATTTGATGCTGATCACCTGACAAAGCGGTACCGCCAAAACACCATCACCGCCATGCATCTTTCTTGGCTTAAATGTACTCTATATCTCTCTAAAACGCAGCAGGTAAAGATTTGTTGCAGTAGTTTTTCCTCCTCTCCTTGCACGTGGCCATACAAAAGCGTCGCCCTGTTTCTGTTTGTCACCGGGTTTATATTCACATTATGGAGATGCCATAAGACACCACCATTAAAGAGGGGCTCTTACAAGAGGATAATGGCAGCTGCCAATGTTAAACCCTCCTTTTAACAATCCTTGTTCCCTGGCTGACATACTAAAGATTTGGCTTTTTTTTTTTAAACAAACTTTATTCTGTTTTCTCGGCCCTACCCCAAGGGGCTCGGCCTTTTTTTCCACAGCATAAAATTTACACAGTATGAGTCTACTTACAGTAACCCTAACAATTGTACCAGAAATATCAAACTTAAACATTCCAACATTCCCATTATTCCCAAGCTGGTTGCCACTCTTACAAGATTTGGCTTTAATGCGGTCTTAGTCGCTGACCCACAACAAGCAAAGAGATAAGGAATTCCGACAGCTTTCCTAACACTCATTTACAAATTAATGTGGAATATAGGAGCCAGTCTAGTCTGCCCAATCCAGGAGCAAAAAGGATTTTTAGGAGCCATCCCCATTGGCAACAAATCTTAAAGGTTTGGCACCAGCTGTAATTCTTAAGAAGCATTGGCGACCTGGCTCCTGCAATTTGTCCAGCCATACAGCCAGCATTTTCAGAAGCAGGCCAACAATGGCAGCCTTGAATCTTTTTTCATGACAGAATCACTTTAAGCATTTATTGGCCTCAAGGTGGAGCCAGAAATTATGGTGGAGATATCTCACCCAAGAAATAAAATAAACCAGTATGAGATCCAACTTGCCAGTAACAGCACCAAACTTAAATATCACTGTAGATAGCCAATAACACATTTCATTCCCACAGAAAAATAGGTCCCCTGCAGCAAATCCCTGATCCCTTAAATTTATAGATTATTAGATTTGTTGGCGCCAACAGTTTCCATAGCGCTTTACAAAATAAAGGGAGACAGTGCAGTTACAATACAATTCAACACAGGAGGGCCCTGCTCATGAGAGCTTACAATCTAAAGATCACCAGTCTTGTAGAAAACGCCCCTTTGGATTTAGCAGGTGGTCATGTGACCAAATGCTTAGGAATAAGTCATGTGATCTTTGCTAAAGAGGAAGTTCAGAGCAAAGTCCTATTCACATCCATGCAATGCATGTAGGGCTTTCTAATAAGAAAGCCAAGCAAATTCCTGCATGCTTGCTGGCACCCTCTGTATAACTAAACAAACCATGGCAAAGATAAAGTATGACAACCCTGGAGCATGTATGTTCACAAGTCTGCAATGGCTGCTCCCGCATCTCTATGCTGAATGCTTGTTCTGTACCTTAAAGTTAATTGCCTTGCTCCTCCAATCAATAATAAACTCCATAGCTTGCCAGATCCGAGCAATTACACGTTACACACCCTATATTGTCAAATGGTTGTGGTCACACCTAGCTTGTCCCACATCCCATTCCAAAACCACGGCATTAATATGGAGTTGGGTGTACCTATACTTCTGACCAGATTGTATATTATTATTATTACAGATATTTTATATAGTGCCGACAATTTACACAGCACTTTACATAGTGCACACTGACATTAGTCCCTGCTCTCAAGGAGCTTACAATCCAAGGTCCTTATCCTCACATGCATACATACAGTATGAGGGCCGATTTAGACAGCAGACCATTAACCTTCCAACATGTCTTTGGAGTGTGGGAGGAAACCAGAGTACCCAGGGAAACCCATGCAAGCACAGGGAGAACAAACTCCTTGCAGTGTCCTGACCGGGATTTGAACTGAGAACCCTCAGTGCTGCAAGACAGAAGTGCTAACCACTAAACACTGTGTAAATATACATTTATTTATTTTTTGCTCTAAAATTGCACATAATTTTAACTAATAATTTTTGTTTAATACACCAAAATGGCATTACAATAATATCTATAGGAGCCACATGGCAGGGTACAGGATGCTGCCTGCGGTCATACAAATGTAGTCGGAAGTTGAATTTGAACTGAGAGCGGCAGAGCTGGGTGGGTTGCTGTAGAGGGGATGTAGGGACAGAGGAGTCTGCTGGGGTCTCACAGACAGCCGAATCGCTCAGTGTTTTGATCCCTGCAGCAGCGGAGCAGCTAACCCCCATCCCAGACCGCTTCCTGCTGGGCCCCTCTCTCACCATTTTTACGTCACCCCCTCCCTCCACAGACCTCTCTCACACTGGTCCACTCTCCCAGATCCTCATCATCTACCTCGTCCTGCAATCACCTCCTCCTTTTCTCGGCTTCCCTATTCCCCCCCAGGGCTGGGAAGTCTTCCCCCCAGAACAACAGGGCCCGTGGGAAGCCTGCGATAGCATTCACCCACGTTACTTATGCTCGTAACGAACTGAAATGATTATAAATCCTCCCCATCAGGAAATCCCTTAACACTGGAAGCCCCTCTTCTCGGGAATAAAAAAAAAAGTATGCTAAACAAAGAAAAAAAAAAGATCTCCAAACTTTTTCTCATTTATCCTTTTAAAATTACACATGGACTTCGCAAAGAAGAGCTGAACGATAAACAAATACCAAAGAAATCAAACAAGTACAAGCCGGTCGCAGAAGAAGAATAATGGCCTACGGTTCGGGTTTCCATAGCAACCTGATTGGCTGAACTTTGAGGCCTAGGGGATGTAAAGATATATTTATGTTTAAACTGCTGGATAAATACGAACGCGGACGTAAACACGAGAAAAGGATGGAAGCCGATTGGCCTGACGTTTTCGTCAGAGGAGCTTTGCACAGCGAGGTGGCCATTTTTCAAGTGACCCTTTTGGTCCTACTATGAATTCTCTCACACATCTAGCTTTCTCTCCTGTCAAACATTCGGGGAGAGATTTATCTCTGGAAATATCTCAAGTAGAGTGGGGGGCGTGAGAGAGAGGACGATAAAGGACGAGAGAGTAGAAGTCCTCGAGAACGACGCAGGAGGAACCACGTGAGAGTAGAAAACAAACCGTGAGAAGAAAAAAAAAAAAGAGAAATGGAGAAGTTAAAACAAACGTATTTTATCTCTTTCATGTTTGGCTGGCTCCCACAATTACCTCAGATTCTAAAAAGATACGTGTAGATATCTGACAGGCTTAGGCTCCAACAAAATGGCTTCCACCACTGTGTTTAGGCAATGTACACCAAGTGTAGCCAAACGTCGGCCCTCCAGCTGTGGTGAATCCCACCATGCATTCGTCTCTGGGTGTTATGCCTGTAGCTGTCAGAGTTTTGCAATGCCTCATGGTCCTTGAAGTGCCAGCTGGAGGGCCAAGTTTGGCTATCCCTGGTGAACATATTGCTTAAACACCGTGGTGGCAGCCATTTTGTTGGGGCCCAATGTCTTGGCCCCAAATCGCGTTCAGTTCCTTAGCCAATAGCTGAGTAGCTATAATGCAGCACTTCACTTCGCTGCAGCAGCTTCACTGAACACTTTGGCTGCACAGTGCTAAGCAAAATGGCGGAGGATTCAGTGTTAAACTGCCATTAGTGCAACTTCTACTGTTTTACAGAGGGAAGCTGAGAGCCATGGCATATTTAATGTGGCCGTGAATGAAATGGATGTTTCATTATCTGAGGAAGAGATAGAAACAAATATATTCATATGGTTGCAACAATTAGGTCACCAGCCCACCGTTGCAACAAAAGAGTATTTTGAACAAACTGTGCATCATTATTCAGACACACTTTTTCTTTCACACTCATCCACCAAAACATTAAATTGTAGCTTTTCACATTGAATTGTGATTTGCTCCATCGGGGCTCAGGCACCCTTCTCCATCACTGCCAGGTGTGCCCACAGTTACAATGGCTGCTGATGCTCTGTCCCCAACTTCTCCTACTATGCACGTCACACTCAGCGCTCTGCAGCCACATTTACTTACCCTGCGAGTGCTAAGTTAGCAGTGCTGAGCGCTGACTTGCAGCATGGCGTTCAGCGGTGGTTTGCTAACTCAGCACTCGCAGCGGCTGAGCAAGTAAATACTTGAGGGTAGGCAACTCTGGTCCTCCAGCTGTTGGGGAACTACAAGTCTCATGAGGCTTTGCAAGACTGACGGTTACAGGCATGTTTCCCAGAGGCAGAAGCATGTTGGGATTTGTAGTTAAAGCACAGCTGGAGGGCCGGAGACGACCGCCCCTGCCAGATTTAAAAAATAGAGAGCTAATGGGACACCTCTCAGGATTGGCATCTGAACACTTTAACTGTGGTATATTTGTGTTAGATTTGATACAAATCAGGTTACATGCATCAAAGGATCATGCACTGCGATAACAGATTTTATCGCAATATGTGTAGCACAGTGCGTTCTGGTGCTATGCATTCTGAATTG